AATTTGGGCCCTGGTTATGTCTCTGTCCATGCTTTGGATGCAGCATTGCATAGTTCTTTTATTTCCCTTGCGTTAGATCCCTAAGTTTATACGGTGCTGCCTAAAGGGTCCTAAAGGGAATTTGGGCCCTGGTTATGTCTCTGGCCGTGCTTTGGATGTAGCATTGCACAGTTCTTTTATTTCCCTTGTGTTAGATCCCTAAGTTTATACAGTGCTGCCTAAAGGGTCCTAAAGTGTCCGTGGGTGGGACGGTGCAAGTACAACCGGCTGGAGTTCTAGATGTCCACGTTCAGGACCACCACTGTGGGTAGTAAGCAGTTAGTAAACACAGTTACTAGCTGTGCACAGTCTGCTGACCTCTAGTGGTACTCCCCAGATTGCGGGTGGGAAATCACAATATCTAGGAAAGCCTCGAAATAATAGTTCTTATACACGTATTCTAGATTGAAATCAAGGCGTGCTGATGAATTGTAATAGTGCTGTTTATTTTTGCAGACATTGGGTCCGAAAGGTACACCTTCAGTTTTACTATTCGGGATTCACCGACTTACTTTATAAACGTAAATTCTTGGGGCAGAGAAGAGTACATTCGGTCACTTTCAGACAGCTTTAGAATTGGCGACTGTGGTAAGTTGGAGTTTATTCTGAACATGTTTCTGTTTGAATGTGGGCTTTTTTCAGTAAATCAGTGTTATGTGTTTGCGGTTTTGCTATATTTTTCTCTGAGGACTCAGAAAACACTCTAATTGGAAACAAATTGTTCAGTTATGTTAAGTATAAAGAGGAAAGGAATAAGATTTCAAGGATTTAAATTCAAAACCAGTAAATATGTCAACAAAACGACTAGATAGAAATGCACTGAATGCAGCCACCCAGAACTTGTCTGTAGTTAATCGGTCTAAATTCCTGTATTATATTCAGCTCTTAGAAACTGCGAAAAATAAACTCTATGAAATAGTTAGATGTTTTTCTTTGTCTTCATGCAGTTATAGATATGATTATGACTGTTTATAAAAACACAGCCAAACCCTTCTTTTAGGCTGCGGGTTTATCATGTTAATAGAAAGACCTTGCTGCCCATGGTTGCTAGATCAGAGTGTTTGGCTAAAACTTGTGACTATGAAGAGTACGCACCAAAGAACTCTGTGCCATTTGGCTTCGGTTAAATGTCTTGAGGACTCCCGTTGGCCTTTGGCTGTAATGTGAGCTGTCTGGGCAGGTGTGGGTTGCAGTATGACAACATTTATCAGTAGTTACTGCACGTATCTTTTCCATGTCAACCTTGAAAGTAACCATACTCTTTATATGTGTCTGTACTCACTTTTCTAACGTTACTTATCAATGTTTTATTTTAGTTACAATTGAAAACCCTCTAGTGCAGTCAAAGGAAGCAGAAAGGGAAGAAAAATTCAACCCTGTAACTCCTAGGTAAATTTAAAGCATAAACTGGTAGTTCTTTCCAGAAAGATCAAAGTTAGCACCTGCTTCAGTTGCCACCCAATTGCAGCAGCATGCAGTGGGTAGAAGTACTTGGGGTTGGCCTTCGTACGTAGCTGCCCCGGCCTCCCGCTGTTCAGCTGTGTATGGACAGATCACCTCGGGAGACAAGGTTTTTCTCGGCATGTGGTCTTTGGAGTTTTGTCATGAAGTAATAACGCCCTTTGTAAGTAAACAGAGCAAAAGTCATCCTTTGAGTAAAGTCTACTGAAATGATTGGAAGTTGGTTGGATATTGCCAAAGCATTTTGTCAGACATGACTGTTTCATAGACGGCATTTCCTTACTGAAATCCATTCACATGATGGGTATTTTAACACACTGTGATGCTATTTGTTACTTATATGGTAAGGCATTGTCATTCCTTTTGTATCACACGATGTACATATGTCATCTTCCCATGTATTCTCTAAAATCAGAACAATTTGAACCAGTATATGAAACTAACTTGCACTCCAAGTCATAACTGAGGTATGTTTTAACTTATCTTAGATATCTAAGATGTGGTTGTTGGCTAGACTAACCTCTAAAATCAGAACAATTTGAACCAATATATGAAACTAACTTGCACTGCAAGTCATAATTGAGATATGTTTTAACTTGCCTTAGATACCTAAGATGTGGTTGTTGGCTAAACTAATACACCTGTTCTTTAATTAGGGTTTCTTTCCTAATTGGTCATATTCTAATATTTTTAATAATATGGTAGTCATAAGAAGATTGCATGTATGTACATTAAATTGGCAATCAGAAGGTTTAGGTTCTTGCTTACTGATCTTCTCTAAGCTTCGCAGCAAGCATATCGCTGTCGTAGTTACATTCACTTTCTAGCAGAGCAGAAAGAAGTGAAAGAACAAAGGTCAGGTAGAACCTTCACTGAGGAAAAAAGCCCCTCTCTAAATCTATAGACGTCATAAGCATTTGTAAAATACATTTACCCAGAATATATTGAATATATCTCAGTTCTGCTGGCTAACAGTGCGTTATACATGTTACTGAGGTCACTGGGCTTTACTTTGAAAGCACCTTACCAAATCCAGTCTGACTACAGTAATGTTGTATTATGTCACAGTGCCAAAACCTCTCAGTTGCCTAGATTACAGATATTTCAGAATGTATCTTATTTTTAGTGATCATTAAGGGCTGAAAGTCTTACAAATATTTATTGTATATGGCTAGAAATTCAAGCTGGCTTTTCAATCCTTAATAAGGATAAAGTACACAATAATAAGTCTTCCATGAGAGAAAAGCATATAGTTTTTAAAAATAACAAGTTAATTCCAAATCTTCCCTATCTTTAGGGAAAACAATAAAGGAATAAATCAGCAGTTATTTTCTCAAGTGAGTTAACTAACACTTTACACTGTTAACGTATTGGTGAGGGAAGCGCTGATGGTTGTGATCTGCTTTCTGCATGCCATCTAGTTGCTACAAATTATTGCTCAGTGAAAACCACTCCGTGGTCAAAACGGCTCCGTGTTATGAAATGGACACCCAGCTACTTTCGCTGTTGCATCTGCCCATCAAGGACCCTCAGGACTATTATTCACTGGGTGATATCATTGCAAATGGACAAAGTCTCGACGGAAGGATCCTGAACGTGCTTGCAGCTGTGATGTCGGTAAGTTAAGGAGCCACAACTGAGTAGTGTTTTTCTACTGTGTTACGGGCAACTTCATTGACTTAGGTGTGAATATGGATTTTGGGACTCAGAGTGGACAGGAATCACTGGGATGGTTTGTTTAAGTTGGCCTTACTTCACCTGAGTTACAATAACCCTACAAGCTACTTGATGGGATTTTTATCAATGAGGTGAGGAGAGAATTTAAGGGAATGGAAGTGTCCTAACTCAGCTGTCTTTTTGAAATCATGGATATGCAAGCAGTAGGTAACTTGAAATTTGTAAACTGCAGAATTTTATAAAATGAAATGCATCCCTTTATCCTGACGTAAAACTACTGTTGTTAAACTTTTAGTGGTGTACATGTTTTGGTTTGGGTGTTTGTTTCTTTTTCTTTTTTAGTAGTCTACAGGGATTTTTTCCCCTTTGTAACTCTTGTTTTCTAGATTGTCACTTTTATTCTCCTAAACACTTAATAGAGGAAAAATGACTGCTTCTCTTTCTTCCCAAAGGTGGGGGAGCCAAAGTATTTTATAACTTCAGACAAAAGAAAAGGTCAAAGGTGTGAAGTAAAGCTGTATGACGAAACAGAGGTGTCTTTTCCAATAGTGTGGTAAAGTGCTTTTTAATTCACTAAAATACACAAATTAATTCAGGAGTAGGTAAAGACATTAACTGTAACACATACAGTTATGTGTCTGTACTGTACAACGTACTGCTATACGCTGTCTTTTAACTGAAACGTATTGTTAGCTGGGGGCAACTGTGATGAAGCAGTGACGTACACAGAACAGAGGTCCAAAACAGAGATTCATTAGAGTGACCTTATGTGTATTGTCTAGTTTTATGACCTGCTGACAGACTGTTAGCTCATGAATGGCAAAATGAAGCTTAGTTCCAAATAGTTACATTATCGGATGTGGAAATTTGAACTAATTCAGGAAATGGCATTTAAAAACAGCTGCAAAGGCAGCAGAGGCAAAGATGTGGGAAATCCTTGAGCCAACAGCATTGTAGCGAAGCTATTTCAGAGGCCGTCAGTGAGGAGGTGGCTGAGCAGTGCTAGATGAAAAGTAAATATCTTCAATCTTTTCCCAAGGACCAAGAAAAAAAACCAAACCACCAGAACAAAGCTGGGCTTTGGCAATGTTCCTGCCATCCAAACTGAGCAGGAACTGAATGAGATTTTACCAAGGGACCTAACCATCAAATTATCATTTTCGAGGGCTACCGCTGACCTCATTCTAGACTCATCATCCACAGTTACAAGGATTCCAGTGCTGGGAAGCTGGCTGAACATCTGGCCTAGTGATGTGCACAGGCAGCTTGTTCCCACAGAAAAGGCTCAGCTGATAATCAGTTATTTTAACTGTGATTTGCTTTAGTTAGAAATTCCTCTGTCAAACCTCTGAAATACACACAGTACTTCTCCCAGGTATATTCTGCATTTAATAATACTGAACAATCTAACAGCTCTTTATTTTATCCTGTTTGCCATGGGATAAAATAGGGATTGTGTTAGTCCATACACAAAGCATCTGTCTGCCTGCAAACCAGATGCCTGTGGATATACTTGGCATTTCATTTGCATGTTTGTGTAACAGAGGAGTTGTGTCCCCTCTGACCAATTTAATTATAACTATATTATTTAGTAATTTAGCACTAAACAGTTTGCATGCTTTCAAAAATTGTTTGATACATTAACTTCTTTTAATTTAGTTGGGATAATGAATCAATCCAGCTTGCCCAGAGTTGGATCCCCCGAGAAACAGGTATAATAGTCTATTTTTTATGTTTTTCCTGTAGTTCTTAACATGGTACTTATTCAACAGTAACAGTTGGGTTTTGTTTTTTTAAATGCACAGTAATATTTGCATCAGATGTGAGAATAAATTTTGACAAATTTCGGAACTGTATGACTGCAACTGTGATCTCAAAAACCATCATTACAACCAATCCAGGTAAGAGCTGGTGACGTATTGCTCTGGCATCAGTACTCATCAAGACTAGTGCACTGCAGTGCATGAATGAACCTGATTTCTTCTGCCTGCTTGCCTCAGAAAGCTTCCTACTTCCTGTCTCTGTTGTCATGACCAATGCTTTTGGCTTCCACCCTTTTCTCTATATATTTATTTATTAATTTTTTGTTCTATTTAAGCAGCCTTCATGTACTCCATGTAGGACTAACTAAAGTAAAAAAGAGAAAAGCATCTCTCCACTAATTCCAAGAGACAGTGTGTTGGTGCTACCAGAATAAAAAGTTGTAAAATAGAATTATACTGTTATTTTTACGTTACATATATTAGTAACTTTTAAAAATACATTTTCAAGAAACAGCAGAAGCAAATGTTCTCTTCAGCTTCATAAAAGAGAGCGCACAATCAGGAGCTTTCCATGAGAAAATGGAGGAGCAGTCAAAAGACTCCATCAACCGTAAGCGTGGATCTAAACACTTTGATTTTTGTTTAACTATATAGTGTCGTTTCACAGTGCAGTTGGAAGTTCAAGTTCTCGCTCTGTGACTTGAAAGAAACTACACTGTACTTCACATCTGGGCTGTTGCTGCTGGAGCGATCCCTTAGAACATCAGTTATACATCTCCTGGGTTGGTGACTGTGCCCCCTCGCAGCCTGTCTGGCATGTTCTTTGTGTCTTGAATGAGCATGAAAAATGGAGAGGGAAAGTTTTGTCAAAAACTCATTTTAGGGGATACAATTAGATATTTTCTTCATTGGACTCCCCTTTTGTTTTAGTTTTTGGGGTTGGTTTTTGTTGGTTTGTTGTTGTTTTTTTTTTTTTTGTCCCCCAAACGATAAATCTGCTTCAAAAGGAAGGTGTGGGGGGCTTTTCTGGTGCTTTAGACCAAATCTCCTCCTTTTTATTACCTTAAGACCCCTTTTTGTTGTTGCTCTTCTGTGTTGTTTCTTTCTCAAACACGCTTAACCTGTCTCTTTAAACTTTCAGTGGAGACTATAGTTGATGTTTATACTGTAAAAGAGCTGAAAGAAAAAGCTTTGCAGAGTGATTGGAAACTGGAACCACTCTATGGCGTTATTTATGGCTACATTTCTACACTGGACATTGATGATAATGCAACTAAAATTATTCGTAACAGATGGTAAGCAACTGCCTGTTTTAAATTTGCCTTAAAAAGTGCTTATCCTTCCTCCTCTGACCCTAAGTAAATGGCACAATGTTTTAGCCCAGTTCTGGACAAGAATTACAACGCCTCTGGAGGATGCCATGGGGATTTCTGTTGTGTAGACCTCCAGAAGCTGCAAGGAAGAGGAGCTGGCTTTATGAAGGACTTGCTCTTTCTGGTCCTAGAGGAGCAAAGAAGAAATTGGCCAGTTTGTCCCAAAGAGACTTAAGAGTTTATAAAAGGAAGACTTCTTTTTAAAGAGGAAAAGTTTCTTGGGAAATAGTCTAGGAAACAGTTTGAAACAAGGAGGAATTGCATATATGCATTAATTATCTTATGTTTCAGCTCAGTATGTCGTTTTCTGGTGAATGAAAGGTCAAACACATGCACTTTCTGCAGCGACATCTCCTCCAAGTCAACTTTTGCAAGCTTTGACATCCTGGTGGATCTGACAGATCACACGGGCACTCTTTATTCTTGTTACCTGTCTGACTGTGTAGCTGAGGAGGCATTAGGCTGCACAGTAAGTAGAAATGAATTAGGTTGTTCTAGTGACCTGAGCTGTGAAGCCGGGTGAAAATTACAAATACATATCGATGTTCTTCGTGTGTGTGTGTACACCGGTTAAAAAAATTGCGTATGGATATATACACATGTGCTTGGCTTGTTAGCAAGTCTAAAGTTAGAAGTCAGTAGCTGCTAATAAGAAGAAACGTGTTAAATGTAAGAGGGAACAACATATTCAGACTACTGCTTTGTTTTAATAATTTACACGTTTCTGAGAACATGGTTGGAATTCCCTAATTTTCATTCTCAAAGAATTTATTCTGATTAATTTTGATACACATATTTCACCAAACACGATGTTAAAAGAGGGAAAATACAGCTTAAAAATGTATTCAAGAACCCCGTAAGATGCTCTCTTCCTCATCATGTTGTTGTGGAGATGTTGTTACAACCGTATGCCGAAGACGTGTTCTGTTATGTCCCGTTACTAACAGGTCCATGAGTTCCTCGCTCTAACAGAAGACAAGAAGACTGCATTGAAGTGGCAACTTCTCTTGGAACGAAGCAAGATGTATTTTAAAGTTAGTATTTAATGTTGATTTAAACCAGTAGCTGTTTCCCATTCAGTGGTATATTTAGCACTGAAAAATTCCACGTCAGTTCTGCTGAACTTTTTAAAATAGGGATTCGTTTTTGTACATATTCTGAATATTCCAACTAAATCATCTGTGCCCTAATTTCAGCAGTAGGGATGTCTGTGCAGGATCAGATATGTCAGCCTCTTTCAGGTGAACTGGAAAGACAAACTGATTGAAGAGCTGGTATTTCAAAACACGTATGCGTGATCTGCTCTGCCGCTGACTTCTACTGCTGTAGGTTTATAATGAAGAAAGTTAGCGAGACCTTGTTAATAACCTGAAGTTATTAACCTTACTGCAAGAATAAGGTTAATAGTAATAGTTAATAGTAACTTAATAACCTTATTGCAAGAATAAGGTGCAGTCAATATATGTAATAGGCTGTACGGTATATGGGATTTCCTAAGTACATTTCTCAGTTACCTGTATTTTTGGAAATAATGTGATTAGGTATGTCTAAAATCTGCAATTCTCCTCAAAGCAACAACAAAAGTAGATTCAAACACCTGGAGCAACTGAAGATCTGCTATTTTTGCATTGTCCATTACTTTTTTAATAGCATGCTGGATACTGGATCCTTTTTCATGGAACTGCCTCTTCTAGGATAATTCTAAACTCCTTTTTTTAAACTTGCCCTTCTTAGCAAAACTGTTCTTACTTTCCCATTTCCCCCACCCTCTGCCTCTCTTTCCAGGAGAAAATGCAGGCGTTCCACTTCAGTAATGACAAGTATAGAGCATAAAATGGGTGTACTCATGTATAAAATAACGTAGAATATGTGCAACTCAATCTGTCAGTTAAACATGCTGTGTGATATTTGAAAATAACGTATTTTGATGTGCTATACAGCGGTAAAAACAAAGACTCCTAATTATTTTTACAGGTTACTTTGTCACCGAGTTGGAGAACCGGCCTGAAAGTGAATCTTCTCTCATGCAAGCTGGCAGACCCTGTAGAGGCCAGTCAGAGCCTGGGAAAGAAGAGATTACCCTGCTAGGAAAAGCCTAATTCCTCGCTCTAGTATTAGGGGTAGTTTGCTGCTGTTGGATTTTGCTGAGCATGTTCTGATGGTTAAGGAGGGATATGCATGACTAGTCTCTGTAAGCCGGTGTCTGTGTTGGTCTTTGTTCAGGTGATTGTACTTTAAAAAGTGTACCCGGGCCTCAGCTTAAGAGAAGTTCATTCTACCCCCCTTACAAGGGGGCTGGGACACTCAGTTTGAATGTATTTTAAAAATCGGAAATAACAAATAGAACAAGACAGGTCTGTCGAGCTTCTGTGTTTCCACCTGACTTGCTTCTGTGCCACTTTCGTGTGCTTTCAAACAATAAAGGGCCCCTTTGAAACACTGCCTGTGTCTGTGGTGTATGTTGGTGAGTCCATACAGGGAATTTCTGGGAACAGCCGTGATTTTTGCAAGGCTGTTTTCCTCTGGAGCAGACTAAGCCTGGTCAGAATGGGGTGATCAAGTGCCAGGACCTCTGATGGCCACCCAAGTGAAGACTACAGGTGACAGAGCAGAACGGGCTCTTCCTCACCAGGATAGCTGTGATTAGCTGAACATGAAGAACCCAGGTATGTACGTTTTGCCCTTCTTCGTGCATTTTTTCCTATTTTTTAATCCATTTCTGTCCTTACCTTCCCCTGCAGCTGGTGTATTTGCTACACTCACCAGTCCACACGCTCTCAGCATATCAGGATTCAGCCTGTTTCAAATGGTGGGAGGTTACTGCAGCCCTGCTCCACCTACTCATTAAAGCAACGTGGCAGAGAGAAAACAACTCCAGAAACAGTGAATTTTGAGGAGCAATGCTCCAAGACTGTATCCCGCTGCCCCAGTGAGCGGGAACAAGGGACTGAACACACAAAAAGCATTCCAGTTGGGTCACTGCATCTCCTGTTGCAGCAATACCCAACTACAGAGTATTAACGGTTACGGGCACTGTTAAAGTGAACGTTTCCGCAATACCCAACTACAGAGTATTAACCGTTACGGGCACTGTTAATGTTTCTGTTCATTTAGCAAAATGAACGGACTGGAAACGGGAAGTTACCCAGCGTGGCTTGTTAACAGCTGGGAATACTTAAAACTCCGGCCGCTGCACTGCGCTGTGTAACAGCAACCGCTGCAGTTTGTGTTCAGAATATATTAAAATCAACCCAAGCAAAGACAACTTTACTGGTGACCTTCACCACTGAGCTGCTTTATTGTTGACCTTTGAATTATTTTACTTTTAGAACTGTATTTAAAGCACTGTTTTGGGGAAAAAAATAATCTGCCAAGCATTTGGCACACTTCCTGCTGCACTACCCCCCTCGGAGTGGGAGGGAAAGCAGTCCTCATTTAATTTGTACATTTGCAAAACGCATGGTGGAATCATGAAACTGATCTAAAAAGCAACCATCTCTTTATTGTACAATACCCCAAAGAGAGATTCTTCCTGAAGACCATCTCTTTATTGTACAATACCCCGAAGAGAGATTCTTCTGTAATTCATGAGTTACCGTTACACATACATCTTCGATTTTATACAGCACGGGTGAACTTCAGCTTTGACCTCACCCTTTTAATGGCTTAATTTGTGATTTTTATTTCACGGCAGTACGTTGGCAAAGCACCAGCAGAAGAGCACACGCAGCGCGGCCACCCCAGCTCCCCTCCCCAGCTGTCCGGCACACCGTCTCCAAGGACAGTTCCAAGGTGCAGCTCAGATATTGACCACCTGCCCCAGCTGGGTTGGATGCCAGGGTCAGCCTCAGAGGAGGCTGAAAGCCTCCATGGAAACAGGGCTGTTTCAGCTCGTGGGCATGCCAGGGTCAGCCTCAGAGGAGGCCGAAAGCCTCCATGGAAAGCCTCCACAAGCTGTTTCAGCTCGTGGGTTAGCGTCTTTGATGTGCGACAGTCCGTTAAGACGCTTGGGCCATTTAAGTGTTCAGTGTACAGGGCAGCTTGCGTGTCTCTTCCTTCACAGATGTTCCCAAAAGAGCCTCTTCCTACGCGGCCAGGGTCCCAGCCCAGCTCCCGGTCAGGATCCACGCGTTTGCTGTGCCACCTTAAACCGCATGGAGAGGATGTCGCTTATCCCAGCCTCTATCTCGTCGTTGGCCTGCACAGACCCCACTCCTTTGGGAGACCCCGTCAGAATCAAGTCCCCTTCTTCCAGGGTGAGTATTTCGCTGATGTAGCTGATCAGGTAAGGGATGGAGAAGATCATCGAGGAGGTCTCCCCCTCCTGCCTCAGCTTTCCGTTCACCTTCAGCCAGATTTTCAGGTTGTGAGGGTCTGGGATCTTCTCCTTGGGGACAAAGTCACTGACGGGGCACGACGAACGGAAGCCCTTGGCCAAGGTCCAGGGCAGACCCTTCTTCTTGCACTCCTCCTGGGTGTCCCTGGCCGTCATGTCCAAGCACAGGGCGTAGCCCGCCACGTGCTCCATGGCGGCGGCCTGGGACACGGCCTGGGCCCGCTGCCCGATGACCACCCCCAGCTCCACTTCGTGGTGCAGGTTGTTGCAGTAGTAGGGCCGGAGGATGGGCGACCCTTCGCGCACGTAGGCCGAGGAGGGCTTGAGGAAGAAGAGGGGCTCCCGCGGCGGCGCGTTCCCCAGCTCCTGGGCGTGCTCCGCGTAGTTGCGTCCCACGCACACGATATTCCTGCCCCACTCCCAGAAGCGGGCCAGGGGTTTGGAGGAGGCCATGGCACAGCGGGTCTCCTTCCCCCGGGGGCGGCGGGTGCCCTTGCGGCGTCCTTGCCGGGCCCGGAGCGGCGCGGCTGCCACCGCCTCCCCTCGGCCGC